TGTCTAGGTAACGTTATTCATTTTAAATGAAATATTAATGAACAGTACAGTAGATATAGAAATGCAACTGTGCTAAATATGGCGTGCTGCACAACGGGCCGAGTCCGGCTTTAATGCTGCAGTGTCGGCAAGTTACGGCTGTCGCATCTGGTCCGGTTGATTCGGCCCAGAATCTGAAAGTGAGTACGCAAGCATCCAGGCCGGGTGCTGCAGATGGATCCGGGCCGATGGACAAGTCTCTAACAGGTGAAAATTTAACTGAAAATGGCCCGAGTGTACGGAGAAGGATTGTGTATGAGGTAGATGTAAATAGCCAGCAAACGTCAAGTTGGTATGTTTTCACTAGACTTTAGTGGAGTCAGCAATTCGCTTGACAGTAAATAAGGATCTAATCCTAAAGTGTCTATTTTTATTTAATACCATTGTTTTCCGTTGTTGTTTAAGTGTTATTTTGGTTTCTGATCACCAAGGAGAGGCTACGCAAGGTCCTAAAGATGGCGGCCGCAACAAAAAAGTCACACACACACACACACACACTGATGTAAGCCTGCTTTAAAAAAAACAAAGAACAAAAAAGACAGTGGGCATAATCTCCATACCCTTGTGATAATGAGTTGCAATCCAAAGAAAAAATGTTCAGTCCATTCGCAGGACATGAACTGAACAAAAGAAGGACAGAGTAAGCCGTAACTTTATTAAATAATAAATCAAAACCTATTGTTAACAACACAATTATTTCTCGTTTTGTTTTCAATGCACTCACTTATGCTAACGATATAACGGACGCGATGCTCGAGTCCTGCAGAAAGTGCGCGTGCTCAGTTTGAACTTTTTCAAAGTCAAGGAGAAGACTTGAGCGTTTAAAACTCAGCAAATGTTCTACCTTACCGTGATCTGACATCGCGTCCAGCCTATAGAACATGCAACATCGAAGTCCAAAGGAACATATATTTCCTCGGTGCTGGGTTTCTGTGAGTGTAGAATATATTTTCCAGGATGGGTGTGGTCAGTTTTGCCAACTTGATTTTCAGGGGAAGTTGCTAAAAGAAGGTCGATTTGTTGCTTTTAGTCGCTAAATGACGCCTATTACGTAATCACGATGCAAAAATGTTAATTTAGATTTGTTTGTTAAATAATATAAATGAATAATATAATGAAATATAAATAACTAATTATAAATACAACATTGAATTATTAAACACTTACACATTTTTGAACGATTACGGTTAACGTTTTTTTAATTAGACAGTAAACAAAACGCACCCAATTACAGTTTTAAGTGTATTAGTAGTTAGTATGCTACAGAAAAGTCAGTAAAAATAGGGCACGCACAATCTACTTATGAAGGAATTTTCCGTATTGATTTTTCACAAGTTTTTTTTTTTACCTGCATTTTATTAGATTATACACTATATTTTGTGTTTTTGGGTTACAGGGCTGCAACGAATAATAGATAATGGCCTGGAAAATTACTAGTATTGGGAACATTCATGCATAATTTAAATACATAATCACATGAAATCAGATTAAAAAAAATATATATTTTAGAAGAGAACGCAGCATCACGTGTCTGAACCAATGAGCATTAAAGGTGCAATAGGTGATAGTCTTCAGAAACATTTTTTGTTATGCTGGTTGAAAGTCTCTTCACATCTCGATAGCAATCATTAAGTTAAGTGGTCTAAATGTCTTTATCTGTATTTATATATTCTGTGGAAGGCGTAGGACAAAGAAATGTTCGTCCAATCAAAACGCTCGGTCCGAGCGTTTTAATTGGCTTTCATACCGGCCTGTCAACGTATGTATTAGCATACCTCTGCACACCCGGTTCGTGCAGACAGGATACGTCATCAGCGCATTCACACACGCTGTGCAGACAGAGCGAGAATGGCAGACAAACATCAACAACCCGATCTTCCTTCCTGGTATTGTAGTACTTTTAAAG